GTCATCTGCAAATAGAGACGATTTGACTTCCTCCTTTCCTATCTGAATACCCTTTATTTCTTTTTCTTGCCTGATTGCTCTGGCTAGAACTTCCAGTACTATATTGAATAGGAGTGGTGAGAGAGGACATCCTTGTCTAGTGCCAGATTTCAAAAGAAATGCTTCCAGTTTTTGCCCATTCAGTATGATATTGGCTGTTGATCTGTGGTAAATAGCTTTTATTATTTTGACATATGTTCTGTCAATACCTAGTTTATTGAGAGTTTTTGGCATAAAGGGATGTTGCATTTTGTCAAAGGCCTTCTCTGCATCATTTGAGATAATCATGTGGTTTTTGTCTTTGCTTCTGTTTATGTGGCCAATTATGCTCATAGACTTGCATATGTTGAACCAGTCTTGCATCCCCGTGATGTATCCTACTTGATCATGGTGGATAAGCTTTTTGATGTGCTGCAATTGGCTTGCCAGTATTTTATTGAAGATTTTTGCATCTATGTTCATCATGGATATTGGCCGGAAGTTTTCTTTTCTTGCTGAGTCTCTGCTGGGTTTTGGTATCAGGTTGATGTTGGTCTCATAAAATGATTTGGGAAGAATTCCCTCTTTTTGGATTCTTTGGTATAGTTTCAGAAGGAATGGTACCAGCTCCTCTTTGTAAGTCTGGCAGAATTCGGCTGTGAACCCGTCTGGACCTGGGCCTTTTTTGGGGTGGTAGACTCTTAATTGCTGCCTCAACTTCAGACCTTGTTATTGGTCTATTCAGGGTTTCAGCTTCTTCCTGGTTTAGGCTTGGTAGGATGCAAGTGTCCAGGAATTTATCCATTTCTTCCAGGTTTACTAGTTTATGTGCGTAGAGTTGTTTGTAATAATCTCTGATGATGTTTTGAATTTCTGTGGAATCTGTGGTGATATCCCCTTTATCATTTTTTGTTGCATCTATTTGATTATTCCCTCTTTTCTTTTTAATAGAGACAGTGTTTCACCATGTTGGTCAGGCTGGTCTTGAACTCCTGACCTCAGGTGATCCACCTGCCTTGGCCTCCCAAAGTGGGAGAGAGGTATTACAGGTATCAGCCCCCGCGCCTGGCTTCATTACCAGTCTTGGTTCTTTTTTTCATGTTCTTGTACTGACTGCATCCTACAGCTCTCCGTGGTGCGTGAGAGGTGAGAATACATGTTGTTGTACACGTGGTGGCTTAGAGAGTGCATCCAGCCTTTCACCGTTGAGGGCAGTGCTGAGTATGGTTTTCCTTAGATGCTCTTTGTCAGGTTGAGACATTCCCTTCTGTTCTCAGTTTGTTGGGTATTTTTCATTATGAAAGGGTGTTGGATTTTATGGAATTGGACGTGTTGAGATGATCCTATGTTTTGTTTTTTTTTATTTTATTGATGTGGTGTATTATAGTAACTGAGTTTTGGTGTTGAATCAGCCTTGCATCCCTGCGATAAATCTTACTTGTTCATGGCTTATGATCGTCTTTATATGTTGCTGGATTCAGTTAGCCAGTATTTTGTTGAGGGTTTTTGTGTTTATGTACACGAGCGATATAGTGGGTTCCTGTGGGTGTTCACGCAACACTTTGGGAGGCTGAGGCTGGCGGATCACTTGAGGTCAACAGTTCGAGACCAGCCTGGGACAACTTGGTAAAATCCCGTCTCTACTGAAAAGACAGAAATTACCTGGGCATGGTGGTGCACATCTGTAGTCCTAGCTACTCAGGAGGCTGAGGCAGGAGAATCACTTGAACCTGGGACCAGAGGTTGCAGTGAGCCGAGATTGTGCCACTGCACTCCAGCCTGAGTGACAGAGCAAGACTCTGTCTCAAAAAGAAAGAGAGAGAGAGAGAGAGAGAGAGAGAGAGAGAGATTGAACATTGTAATAATGATAACTTATGGTTTTGTTGGCCTTTTTATAAAAAAAAATTAAGGTAATTTGTAAAACACAAAATACACCTGCTTTAAAGTTTGTAATTCATTGATTTTTAGTGTATCCACGGTCACACAGCTTTTGACTCTAATCTAAAACGTTCTGTCATCCCCATTAGCAGTCACTCTCCCACCATCCCTTTCCCTGGCTCCTGGCCCCCACGAGCCCCTTTCTGTCTGTGGATTGGTCTGTTCTGGACATTCTGTGTCGGTGGACCCTCCGCTGTGGCCGTTGGCGTCTGGCTTCCCCCCCAGCGCATGCTGTTCTTGAGCTTCGTCCGGTTGCAGCATGGGTCAGGACAGAGGCCTGTTTGTGGGCAGTTTTCAGTGTCACACAATGCATGTCCTGCCTGGGGCAAAACAGCCTTCACCCTGCAAGCTATCCTGGGTGGGAGGCAGCACTAGTGGCGTGTGCTGCACCCAATGCCCTCCAGCCCTCAGAGGTGGAGACAAAGCCCCTTCCCTGCTCACCGAACGGGCTCTGACCAGTGCTTGCTCTTGGCTGCCACCCTGTGATGTCCAGCAGCAGGACTTGGACCGGCCGAGCTAACCCTGCTTCTCTTCCTCCACAGGCCTCCTCGCTGGGGAGGCAGAGCCCTCGCGTGGCCTCCTGCCTTGCACACAGCCTGTGCCCTGGGGAGCCTGGCTTGCAGACAACAGCAGGTACCTTCCTCCCTCCTCCCCGCACCCAGGTCTGCCAAGGCCTTTGTGGCTGTGAGACACAGAATGCCCACCGGGCCTGGCAGAGCCGTGACCAGCACACTGGCTTCCAGACTCCAGGGTGTTCTAGCTCCCACCCGCCCAGATGGAGCTGTGGGGAGCATGGACAGGACTCCGTCTTCCTGTTCTCTAGCAGAGGCAGGGAGCCCAAGCCACCCAAGACCGTCCTCAGAGCCCGGACCCCCAGCACAGGACCCGGTACAGGCCTGCACCAAGCTGAGGGCCACCTCATCTTGCTGGGGTGCTGGGACGGGGGGCTTGCTGAGGGATGCGGACTGGAGAAAGTGGAGCAGGGGAGACAGGCAGACCCTGGTTCCCTGCACCTCCCTGTGCCGATGCTGCTTGCCCGAGGGGCATCGAGGTCCCAGGCCACCTGCTGGCCACCTGTGCTGGGCCCACAGGGCGGAGTGTGGGTGGGCAAGTGTCTCGGTGACTGTTCCTTCTTCCCCTTGCAGCACTCCCATGGGCCAGGTGTAGGGCTGCATGTCTTCACGGCGTAAAACTCGTCCACACCCCAGTCTCCAAAGAAGGCATTGCCGTCCCTATTTTCCCTACATGGCTCCTCCAGGGATGCCGCGGTCATCGAGGGTCCAGGCGCACCCAGGCAGCTCCAGGTCATTCCCTCTCTCTAGCGAGGCGCCTGCCACCAGGGGTCTTCCACATCCCGCAGCTGCCTGTTCTGTGTGTGGTGCGCCCCTGTGTGTCCAGCCACGCAGGCCCTATGGCTGCCCTCCTAGAGGCTTCCTGCCCTGGATCCCCGGCCCTCGGGGCCCCAGCCTTGGGCTATACTGCTCCCTGTCTGGATTGATTGAACCCTGGCTATTTCCTTTTGTTTGTTTTAAAGTCTGACTAATTGGAGACTAAACGTGGAGAGAAATGGTGACACACCCCAGTTATTTTGGGGAAACCCAGGGTCTGATGACAGCCGCCGTCTGTTGGGCCATGTGTGTCGCATGGCGGCTTCCTGTGGCCCTGCAGGCGGAGTGTGAGGGACTGGCATTGTCCAGGTCCCACCGGCCCTGCCCCTGCATGGTTCTTGATGCTATGCTGACCCACGCAGGTGAGGGTTTGGCATCACCCGTTTCAGGAGCCGTGGAGCCTGGCGTGCACCCAGCTCTGATGAGTCCTGCTGCTCCCCCCACCCTAACGAGATGGGTGTCTGGCTCCTTCTAGTCCACGCTCTCCAAATCCTCACAGACTTCCCTGTTCAGGAAGACAAGCAGTCCCTGAGAAAGACACCCCCCCCTTAAAAAAAACCCTTGGAATTAGTGTGTGCAGCTCACCAGCTGTTGTGGCGTGTTTGAGTTGTGGGGTGTCCCGGCAGGTACCCAAGTGGGAGGCTGGCCCTGCAGTGCAGAGGGGTGAGCCCCTAGGGCTTCTCCTGCCCCAGGTGTCCCCAGTCTCTGCAGGGTGGTTGGGACAGACGGGCAAGGCGCTCACCTGCGCTGCCGTCTTCTCCCCAGCGGTGTCCATGGGCTCTGGAGACCATCATTTCAACCTTGTGGAGATCCTGTCACAGAACTACAGTGTTGAGGGGGAGTGTGAGGAGCCTTCGAGGTGCTCAGACAAGCCCAAGGAGGAGCTGGAGAAGAACTTCATCTCCCAGGTACTTGGACGAGGTGATCCCGCCCCCGTGTTGGGTGGAGCCCTCTGGGGTCAGCCTCACAGTTTCTGTGTAGTCGGATTCATGTTGGCAAGTGCTAAATTGTACATCTTTCTGCAAAGTGCCAGGCACCATCCTAGGAGCTGAATTCAGTGGTGACCGGGTCTATCATGGGGCTCTCTGGGCAGCACGGTGGCCGGGCATTAAGCCGGCTGCTCTCAAACCCTCTGGTCTCAGAACCCAATTTGTACTCTTAAAAATTATTGAGCTGGCCGGGCGCGGTGGCTCACGCCTATAATCCCAGCACTTTGGGAGGCCGAGGCGGGTGAATCACGAGGTCAAGAGATCGAGACCATCCTGGTCAACAAGGTGAAACCTCGTCTCTACTAAAAATACAAAAATTAGCTGGGCATGATGGTGCGTGCCTGTAGTC